TGATGGCCGAACCAGGCAAACCGGTTGAAGTTTCTGACTATGATCGAACATTGAGGAAGGCTCTTAAAGCCAAGCCTTCAGCAGTGAAGTGTGGAAAGGAAGTCCCTCAGCTGGGGCAACAGCCACGACAAGAGGTTGAACCGTTAATCGTAGAACCGGCACAACTAGAGATATGCAACTTCTTGAAAGATACGGGACTGAGTATGGAGCAGTTGCTAGAGGACGCACCTATCGAAACGGCTCCGGTCATGTACACGTTTAAACTCGGTGAACTGCTAGTCACGCCTGATAAGATCAGAGAGCTACCTACACAGATGTACCGGTTCCATCAATGGTACATGGACAAATCAGGGATGGGTAGAGAGATGTTCGGAGCTAGGGTGCGAAACTCAGATTATTACCAAGGAGAAGATGTTATTTGGATCCGCTACAAAGAAGTCTTCGACTTATACCACCTGAAGGCCCTCGACGTCTCTATTCTCAGCGCGTGGACTTTGTAAGTACTGTTTATAGTTCAATTTTGTTCCTCATTTGAACGTTGCTCACACACATTCCTTTTCCCCGTTGTAGAATGGAGATTCAGTTATGCCGTCAACACAACAAATTCAATACTGGATTCGTGGACCCATGCAAAGTGAACACGCTGATGATACAACAATACGAGAAACAAACTAAGGACAATATCGTCCATTTCCTGGTGCAGCAGCATTATAAGAGGTTCATACTACTTCCCTACAACACATCGTGAGTTCCTACAATCATAATTAACTTCAATTTTGTTCCTACAAAGTTCCTACAATCATACTATGTATCATGTAATGCAAATTGCAGATTCCATTGAGTCCTTCTTTTCGACCTTGAGAAATCCAAAGTTCATGTCTACGATTCAATGGATAAACCGGAGAAAACTTTTGCAAAGATTTTCGAAGTGATAGATAGGTATTGTCATATATTGCACTGTCATTATGAATCATTGTATAACTACTAGATCTCGGATAATAAATTAATCCTTCCTAACAACTCTAAATAGAGCATGGATTCGGTTCCGTACATTGGTCCGCGGGATCTGGAATGAAAAACTCACCCGGAGGTTCAATTTTCTGGTTAGTACATGCTAGCTCCAATTTTGTATTGAATCATTCTTTGTTCTAAATCAGATATGCATACTAAATCTCTTGTTGTTTCTCTTTCAGTGTGCAAAGCAGGAAAAGGGGACTAACTTGTGTGGCTACTACGTATGCCATTACATGCACTGCTTAGCACACCAAATCAGGACTGGCCAGGACCTTGAAGTACGTAAATTTATTCTTCCGTCAATTATTGCTTACTGGTTTCATATATATAATCCCGTTTTTTTCCAAATTACAGATGATTTACCTGATAGATAACACCACCCACGATGATTTCATAAGGGCTGTTCAAGAACAGATAATGGGATTCATCAACAAGCATATTCTCCATCCCACAGGAGAATTCTATTATGATGGATCGACTATTCATAAAGCCGGTCCTTCTTCTTCCTATGTCACCAAGTCGTAGTAGCAAAAACAAAGATTACAACGTCCAAACGAATTGTAATATATATCTATATATTCATATATGCACACATGCATTTACTTTTGTGTACTTGGTTTGGTAATATATGTGTATATTTACTTACTTGCAAACTCATATTTTGTTAACATATATATGCATATTGCCTCTAATTACTTAAGTGCACACATATTTGTATATACATACATACATACATACATACATACATACATACATACATACATACATACATACATACATACATACATACATACATATATATATATACATATATATATATATATATGTATGTATGTATGTATGTATGTATGTATGTATGTATGTATGTATGTATGTATGTATTACACACATGCATATATGTGTGCACTATATGTTTATCTATACATATATATAATGCAAATGCATTATATATATATGTATAGATATACATATAGTGCACACATATATGCATGTGTGTAATATATACATTTCTATATTATGCATATATATATATATATATATATATATATATATATATATATGTATTTAAACATATATATATATACATGATATATATTCATATATATATATATGTACACCAGGCAGCACAATCAAATTAAAAAAAGAGTAAAGTCCATCGCCGGTCCCTAAACTTGTGCCGCTGTGTCATCCCGGTCCCTAAACTCGCAAATCGACCGTTCAGGTCCTCAAACTTGTTCGACTGTGTCATCTCGGTCCCTCAGATCACTCGTTTAGGTCCTCCAACCTGTTCAGTTGTGTCACCCCGGTTTCTAAACTTGGATTTGAATATTATATGGGTCAAATAGGACGGTCAAAAGACTTTATATTTTAAAATATATAATTCATTAAATTTTCATGTGAACTCTAATGAAGACAAACTTTATATCAAACTTGTAGCCCTCGACGTGATCTATAACTTTGTAGTTGAGTTTTTTTTTATTTCAAGTCATTTTTTGTCCCAAAATGTAATTTTAAAATTAAAATTTCAAAATCTATAAACATGCAATAATATTTTGGGACCCTAAACAGTTTTAATTCAAAAACTTTTCAACTACAAAGTTGTAGGTTGTGTCGAGGGCTACAATTTTGATATAAAGTTTGTCTTCATTAGAGTTCACGTGAAAAGTTATGATTTATTTTTTGATATAAAGTTTTTAGATTGTCCTGTTTAGGGACCGGGGTGACACAACTAAACAAGTTGGAGGACCTAAACGAGTGCTCTGCAAGTTTAGGGACCGGGATGACACGGTCAAATAAGTTTGAGGACCTGAACGATCGATTTGCGAGTTTAGGGACCGAGATGACACAGCGGGACAAGTTTAGGGACCGGTGATGGACTTTACTCTTAAAAAAAAAATTCTTTAGTCCCGGTTGGTGACACCAACCGGGACTAAAGATGGCTTTGCCGGCCACGTGGCTCAGCCATCTTTAGTCCCGGTTGGTGTCACCAACCGGAACTAAAGATGGAGATTTACTCCCGGGTATTTGAACCGGGACTAAAGACCGCCATCTCATCTTTAGTCCCGGATTCTTCCTCCCGGTTCGCTACCCGGGAGTAAAGGGGTTGCGAACCGGGAGAGATGAGCACTTCTCCAGTAGTGCAAACATGATGTTGTACTTATTATATGATGTGAAATTTGTACTCTTCGCCTAAATTAAGTTAGCTAAATATGCCAACGACATTAGAGTACAGCTGCTGTGCTTAAAGAGTATATGTTGTATTATTAAGTCATTTTCAGGATGGCATAATACACTATCATATTTTTGGCATGGCTAGGCAGTTCCTCCAGCTAGTTAGTTAATCTGTCATTTTCTATTCAAGTTCACGTCACGCCATCATAGTTTGTCTGTGATTGACTTATCTTTGGTGCCAGTTAATTAGAAGAGGGTAGATTAATTAATATTCCAACTGCAATGTGTTTTGGAAACTAGGGTGCTACAACGATCCACAGTGAACTAGAATTAGAGGACGAAATTAAAGGGCAATGATCCACAGAGAACTAGTATATCAAATTATATATTGGTAATAAGTGGTATCGGTTTTGTGCTAAATTTGAGCCGATGTGAGATGATTGTACGTAAGCGAACTTTTGGTTACATTTTCGACAAGGTGTTAGTGGACCTGAAGATTAATAGAAAGAGACACGTTGTAAAAGCCTTTACATGCACACTGCAGCGCGGTGTCCGTTTTATCTTAATAAACTATCACAAGTTCTTTTAAAACGAAAATTTTCCAATATAACTCTAGTAATAATTGAAACATTACATTGTAAGTAGTTACTCTCCCTCCGTCCTATAAAAAACAAATTTAGTACTAAATGTGATACATCATAATAGTACGAATATGAATATATACGTCTGTCTAGATTTGTTTTACTAGAATGTGTCACATCTAATTTTAAATTAGTTTTTTTTAAGACAGAGGAAGTACAATATAGCTTAGATCTAAATGTACCTCGTATATAACTGATCAAAACATGCATTGGACTGGTTGGCTAGTGGAACATGCTTGTATGAAAGAGGTTGCAGGTTTGACTCCCTTTTGACGCATGCACTCTGTTATTTTTTTGGCATGCATATTTTTTCCACCCTTTTTTTCACCCTGTCCACACGGATCTCGAGATGATCCTACAATTATAAAATTGAAAGTTTTGGGAAGAAAAACTGTTGGAAGTTTTCTAGCAATCCCCTCCAACAACATTGAGGCCCATCAACTCACAATGATTGCCCATCAACAGTCTGGTTTTCACTACACATCCTCCAATTTCCTGTCCCATCTCCATTTCGTGGGCCTTTTTATTTCTTGTTTCTGGATTGCAAAAAGTCCATTTGGACTCCCTCAAACATAGGTCAAATATGATTCATACCCTCTGCCGTAATATCCTATATATTGACCTTCCAAATATTAACAACAGTGTAAAATAAACTCTCTCGATGGCTGGAAGGAGGCAAGCAAATGAAGAGAAGCATGGAGAGCCAACTACAAGAAGCAAAGCTTTGTAAACTCGACAAGTCTCTTATAGAATGCGGACTACTTTTTTTCAAAAGAGGGGAAACAAAACTTAACGAGCTTTAATTGGCTGACTACTACATAAGCCGTTGGCGGAGAAAGCTCGAACCTTCATTCGTAGCTAAGCCAAGGTTTCAGGTCTCCAAGTCAGCCCATGCTTTTTCGAAGAATCCTACACCCATGAGCATGGCAGGCCTTCCCTTTGCCGGAGCTTCATGGGCGTTGCCCCGGGGATGACTGATTTTGTGGTTTAGGTGTGTAATTCGTACATCTTTATAATTTAGTGGTATTTCAGATATTTTCCTAATTTGATTGTGAAATGTGGTTCAACATTATTGAAAAAGTGGTTTAATACAAACTGATAACTTACAGACGGCTTTGGAACTTGGAAGTTAATTACACATAGATAGATAAGCATAAGCCAACTAGTGTTGAATTAATGGATAGTGGGCCTAAACTCCAGGCCCTCAACGATGAGGCCAATTTTCTTGACATGGTCGTTCACCTCGCGGAAATCCACCATCACCGCTGCCTCCGTGAGCATCCTCTCATCGTTACTGAATTCTGCCAGCTTCACCTCCATCCAGCCGTCGTCCCTCTCGGTAGGGTAGGACACATCGGAGGCTCCGCTGCGGGCTGCAGGATCAACACTAACACGGCTGGTGGCGACGACCCTCTCACCACAGAGCCGCAGAGACGACGTCTAAACACCTTGCAGGCCACTGGTGCCACTGGTTAGATTGTACACTAGGTAGGCTGCATAGGGTGTGTCGATGACTGCCAACCAATGCACGTCTAGCAGCTCCGCGCACTCGGCGAATCTTGTCACCCAGGGTGAAACGATAGTGAGCAATCTAAGTTTAGATTTTGAAGACTGGCAAGTAAAATTATGAATTTTGGAAGGTCATGTTGGTAAGCAAACCTAGAATTAGGGAGGGAGATCCATCTCCAGTGTCCGGGCGTATCTCCCCACGTTATCCTTAATGATCTTGATACCCAAAAAATCTGTTCACATTGATCAAATCCATGTTGCAACATTTCTAATTAATTAATTAGTAGTAAGTAACTTCTTCAAAATTCCGGCACACACCTTGTTGGTTGGTGGTTTGGACAATGATGGAACTGGTGAGAACACTTCGTATCGCTCGACTCGAGTTGATGGTTGACGGGAAAAAGTTACAGCCATCAACTTCAAGTCATTCATCAACTTGGAGATAGGAGTAGAACTTATCTGCAACAAAATAGAAATATTAAAATACATTATATGAAATCAACGAGGCTCTGATCCTGCCGTACGTACGCCATCAACAAAGAATGACTTTATTATATAACGTAACAACGAAAACTATAAATATATGTTCTATTAATTTTTTTGTTGAAAATTAATTAGTTTAACGCCAACACAAACATATGGTAGTTAAAATGTCTGTAAAACTAGTAATTTATTGTTAAACCAAAAGCTAACATGTATTGAGTCACATCACCATAAAAATTTTAACCATTGGAGTGCTAGCTATAGTGCTAGGAAAAACTGGGTGATGATACGATATACTTGCATGTTGAATTTTAGGAGTCAGTGGGTATCTAACTTTATAGTAACATAGGATATATGCTTAAATTTGTTATACATTATTTTGTAAACCCTGAATACCCTTGCTGAAAATCGTGACTCTGCCATATGCGTGCATACCTGCGCTAGCACAACCGAACAAGTTGCATGGACAGTTTCAGTCTCCTCAAGCTTATGGAGGATTTCGAGGGTAGCAGGCCTGTTGTCCAGATTAGTATCAGGAAAAAATTTTGAAATTATACTATTTATCGATTGATTGTGCAAAAATATACCGGATAGCGAACGATTTGCGGAAATAAACCATCGGTATCGCCGATGTTCGCTCCTGGAAAGTGCGATAGCATGGCGAAATCGCTATCTGAAAGAGCGATAGCGAAGTTGAGCTGGCGCTCTCGCGTAAACGAGACGCGAGACCGCAGCGGTATCGCTTTCCCACGTGCGAGAGCGCCACGCGGAGAAATCCCCGCGACTACCTCGGGCGGAGCCATCGCTCTCACAGTTTTGTTGCGCGAGACCAAGGTCGGTATCGTAATATGAAATCGTGAGACCGGTTATGACGCGACAGGGGAGATGTGGGTACGCGGTATCGCGCTTTGCGCGCGCGAGACTGGTGACGCGGCATGCGCGTGAGAGAGAAAGCCTGGGGAAGGGCAGTGGGCCCGCGGCGTCGCGCTTTGGGAGCGCCAGACCGATCGCGGTGTCGCTATACGCGTGCACGAGAGCGAGGAGCGCAGTGAGGCAGCGCTGTCGCGCTTTGCGGGCACGAGACCGCGCGTTGTCGCGCTTTGCGCGCGCGGGACCGCGGGCTGTCTCGCTCTACGCGTGCACGAGGGCGAGGGTATCGAGGGAGCGGCAGTGGGCTCGGTCTCGCGGTACGCATGCGCGAGACCGCCCTCGGTATCGCGCTCCACATGCGCGAGAGCGAGGAGCGCAGTGGGGCAGCGCTGTCGCGCTTTGCGGGCACGAGACCGCGCGTTGTCGCGCTTTGCGCGCGCGGGACCGCGGGCTGTCTCGCTCTACGTGTGCACGAGGGCGAGGGTATCGAGGGAGCGGCAGTGGGCTCGGTCTCGCGGTACGCATGCGCAAGACCGCCCTCGGTATCGCGCTCCACATGCGCGAGAGCGAGGAGCGCAGTGGGGCAGCGCTGTCGCGCTTTGCGGGCACGAGACCGCGCGTTGTCGCGCTTTGCGCGCGTAGGACCGTGAGCTGTCTCGCTCTACGCGTGCACGAGAGCGAGGGTATCGAGGGAGCGGCAGTGGGCTCGGTCTCGCGGTACGCATGCGCGAGACCGCCCTCGGTATCGCGCTCCACATGCGCGAGAGCGGCGGCGCTTTTCGCATCCGACAGCACCGACACCTTTATTTCCCATCTCTATTTCTTTTTGCTTTTTGCACGGGTTCTAGCCATCTACCTTAGCTTTTTAGGGAGAGGTGGAAGAGCTTTGTGCACTCTCTTATCAGTTTATTGTTGTAGTCACGTCATGCCGGCCATTTGTAACCGCTGTAGCGTTCGAATCCAATGCGCTCACGGGGTTAAATTGAGAGGAGAGGAGATGGTCCTCATAGAGAAAGACAGAAGGGAATGAACTAACTGAGGAGGAGAGGAAGAGCAAGAGAAGAGAGGAGGCAGTGCATGCAGTGGAGAGAAGGAAAAAAAGACACGTAAGTTGATTAGTTTTCTATTAGCACAAATTCGTACAATGAGGATTTAGAAAATATTAGTTCACGTAGTTAATATTTGTTTTTAATTATGTTACAGAAAAATTTAGGTATGTATTAGTTACTACTACAATATATTTTGTTAGGTCGTATGTAAAAATAGAAATGTAGAAATTTAATAGAGTAGATTCAGGTTAAAAAATAGGTAGACATAATTAATTTATAAGGTACAAAAGTATAATATAAGTTATAATTAATTTGTACGTAGTAGTAATTATAAGTTATAATTAATTAGTAGTTCATGTGATGTTTAATTTTATATATACGGCCAATATTATATGTAACAAATGAAAAAAACTGAAATATTAATAGTTATATTTGTAGTTATTGATATTGATATTAATAGTATTGATAATTATTAAATGTGGTACAAATATTAAATTAAAGTTGTAATTAATTTGTAGTAATTTAAAGTTACAATTACTTAGTAGTTCATGCAGTTATTTATTTTGTAAGAAATGGAAAAGGTATAAATATTTGTTAAGTAGCGGGAAATATATGATGTGCTTAAAGACATGCTTAACATTGTAGGTAGTTACGAATGAACAAAGAAATGCAGTAGTACGAAGAACTTTGAAATTGGGACTTTTATATGAGCAAATTGGTTGAAAAGAAGAAGGCAATAGAAGGATGGTACTATAATGGAGACAGTTTGTAATTAATAGACAGTTTGTAATTTATTTGGTATTGTAATTAAAGTGCAGTTAAATATATTTATGTCGCTGCAACTAGTTTTATACTATAATAAATTGGTAGTTATGATTAATTTGATTATGTAATTAATCAAGTGAAGTTGAACTTAGTTCTATTAATTTATCATGTTATGATTAATTTATAGATAATTTTGTACTAACTGATAGTTACAAATATTTCGTATTTAAGTAAAGTTTCGGTCCGTTAGATAATTAATAGTTAAAGTTGTAATATATTAAATGTACTCATCCAAATTTGCAATAGTAGTATTGTTTCAGAGGTCATATCTAAGTAGGTACAAACAGTCCGTAGCAAAGAAGATGATGCGGCTCAATGAGTGTCATTGTCCTAGATAAAGAATAGAAAGAGGTAACCAAAATGATTTTTAACTTAGCTTCCGTCAATGTTTTTTCGGTACAGGTAGTCATTTGTTGTATTAAAATTAATTGGTATGTATAATTAATTTGTTAGTTAAACATATGGATTATGCAGTGAACTAAACTTTGAGGCAGCAATTGTTATACGAGCAAGCTGGTTAAAAAGGAGTAGGCAGGATCTGATAAATGCAGGTAAATATTTTGTCATCATATTTATGTACGATATGGTATGGTTGTGTTGTTTTAAGTATTGCATACTCTTTTACTTAAATCAATTGCCATAGTTATGTTTAATTACGTGTTTTAATTAATTAATCAGTATTAATTTTATTGTCATGTGTTTATTTTTTATGTCAAAGTTGTAGTAAAATTATAAATAATGAATTGCATTGTCATGTATTCGTAAGTAAATAATTTATGTTTACGTAATTATTTATTTATAAATTTTTTATTACAAGTACATGATTTTTTTATAAATAATATGGACATATAAATAATTAGTTATTGATAAAGATTTTTTTATCAAAAAAACAGTATGCGTGTAAACTAATTTTGGTCGTGAATAGGACACGCTTGTTCTATAAGACTTCCTTACGGAGTAGTCCGTGTTGTCTGCAATGGCAGGAATGTCGGCATTTAGAGTGTATTTCGGTGAAGGTGAAATTATGGAAAATGAAAGTGGTGTCGATCTGAGCAACTTTAGGCAATGCACACTATACCATCCAAATCCTGACACCCTTACCATGCCCGAAGTTTGGTACTGGTTAACATGCACATTTTCTTTAGATCCGGGTATATATAGTGTTAACATGAGGGTTATGTGGAGCCGATCGGCCAACAACATAAGATGGGAGTTAAAAAATGTGACACGGAGTAAGGCCTGGCAGGATTGGCTCGCTGGCTGTAGGAGACGGGGATATGAATATGTCATGCTGGTTCAAGCATGTCAAGGAAGAGTCCCCACGAAGAGCGCAGCGGGGCAATCCAGCAATCGTGAGGAGTTGGGGTATAGTTCACACGAAGAAGATGAAGTTGTAGCTCCCCATCGTGGTGGCGATGTTGGTCCTGACATTCAAAATCTATCCATACAAGGAGATGAAGTGGTCAACCGCCATTCTACTGGTGAAGCCGATGAAGGGGAGGACATACCTGCTATAGTTGAAGAAATTGAGAGGGTGGACCGACATGCAGTCAAAGATGAGGAAAACCTCGGTGCTAAAGAGAATGATGACGAAGATGAACAAGAAGTTGAGGAAGTACCTATGCCTGCTTCGTGGAACCTTGAAGACCCTAGTTATATTGCAGTAAACTCTTGTCATGATTCAATATGGTTCTACGGGGATGGCCAAATCAATCTGGGTGCAATGTTCCGTGACAAAACTGGGTTGCAAGACACAGTGAAGTCATGGTCATTCCAGATGCAAAGGCAGTTCAGGATTGTGAAGTCTAACAAGACTGAGTACACGGTCGTCTGTGAGACGGAAGGTTGCACCTTCCGTCTTCATGGTCACGTGCCAAAGTACGAGCCTTACTGGATTGTGTCCAAACTGCAGGAACACTCATGTCTGATTCGGAACACTAGGGAGCCGCAACCTTACCGCGGCATATGTCGCAAACAAGTACTACAGGGAAATTATTGAAGGTCATGACCTGTCTATGTGGCACATAATAAAACTGGTGGAGAAAGGTGAACAATACACAATTAGTAACCACAAGGCTTGAAGGGCGAAGCAGAAGGCCATGGAGAAAAGATATGGGACATTTGAGGAAGCATATGACACACTGCCACAGATGCTTAACATTCTAAAGAACAGGAACCCTGGGACCTATGTTGCTGTGCAGGATCGGGAGTCAATTCGTCCTCCAAATTATCTTGTGATACAACGGGCATTCTTTGCATTCGGAGCATGCATTCATGCGTTCCAGTGCTCGTGGCTGGTGCTGTGTGTCGATGGTACATTCCTAACTGGGAAGTACCGAGGCCAGATATTAACAGCCGTTGATGCGGATGCGAACAACCAGATAATTCCAGTAGCTTTTGCTTTTGTTGAAAGCGAGAACTATGAAAGCTGGTTGTGGTTCTTGCAACACCTAAAGTGGGGAGTGGTGCAAAAACGCACATCGATATGCATCATCCATGACCGGAATGCCGGTCTGTTGAAAGCAATCAAAGAACTCCAGGAGGATGGTGATGTCGCATACTACTGGCCTGACATGCATAGCCGTTGGTGCATGCAGCACATGGGAGCCAATTTTTTCAAACAATTCAACAGTCGGCGGCTGATGAACATATTCAAGCGGTTGTGCAAGGCAAATCAGTCTACAAAGTTCGATGAGCAGACCAACAACAACCCATAGGATGGCAGAGTACCTCCAAGAGAAGGCTAACAAGGCAAGATTTCACACGGTCATTACCACTGGGAACGCCAGACTAAGGTGGGAAGTCACATGTCGCACTAAGGGGGGTTTTGGATCTTCTACTGGGGTCATCACTCATGAAGTTACTCTAGGGCACGAATCTGATAACACATGTTCGTGCTCTTGCAATAAGCCGAAGCTTCTTCATAAGCCATGTAGCCATGTCCTGGCCGCGTGTGCTAAAATTAAGCTTGATTCAACATCATACGTGTAGACGTTCTCCCTAAAGGATAGAGTTCTGAATGCATGGAGTGCTGAGATCCTCGGGTGGAGGTCCCTCCA